TAGTAACCCCCATTGGGTTTCGGAGCCTGTAAATCTTTATGGAATAGATTGCCCTGTCTTCCTGCCCTGGAGTGGCAGGTGGGTTTGAACCACTGACCTTCAGATTAGCAGCTAAATGCCTTACCCATTAGGCCATCAGCCCACAATGGAACCAAATTAGACGTGAGTTTTAGGTCCTGAACCAGGACAGTTGTAAATAGTGAAATGGCCCCAGGGAAAAGGAGGAGAACCAAATTTTGCACTGACCATTACTTCATTGAGTATTTGAGAACTAACTGGTATTGGTTAAAAAACAAAAACCAAACTCACTGCTGTCCAGCCGGATCCGACTCCTTGGGACTCTTTGGGTTTCCGAGGAGGTATCACTACAAAAGTAGATTGCTCAGTCTTCCTTCTGAGGAGTGGCTGGTGGGTTTGAACTGCCAGCCTCTGGTTAGCAGTCAAAAGCTTAGGCACTACACTACCAGAGCTAGTGTTTAGTATTTGAGAACTAACTGGTTGCTTTGCTTATATCCATCCCTCTTGCTGCAAAAACAGTATCTGATTTGATTGGGAGACCATAGTTTTGAAGATCTAGGAGTTGTAAATGTGCTGTGAATATGTAAATGTGTTTCATTTTTAAGAGGAGGAACAAAAAGGCCTAAGATTTTGGAGGAGTAATGTGGACTAGAAATTCAGGAAAAAAAAAAAACAACTGAACTCAAATTTGTTGTTTGTGCTGTGAAGTCAGAACACTATGGACCAGTACTGGGGGACACCAGACTCAATTGGCACAACATAATCCATAAAAGCCTTGTTCCTCATCCTACATTTGTGAGTAGTGACTGGGGTCTTAAAAGCTTTCAAGGGGCCATCTAAGATGCACCTAATGGTCTCCTGGTGTCAGAAACGAAGAACAGTGTGTGTGTGTGTGGGGGGGGCATTGGGAAGCAATCAGATAAGCCCTAGGACATGGCGGCCCTGGAGACCAGAAGCACTAGATGGTGCCCGGGTACCAATGCCAACCACTCAGGAGAGGATCAAATCTGGAGATCCTGGAATGAGTGGGAGGAAAAACGTGGAACAAAATGCAAAAACTCAGTAATGACCAGAATGACTGGTGGATAGAGTCTGGTGAGACCCCCAATACTATAACCCAGGGATACATTCTGGGCCTGGAATAAAACTCACTCCCAGGGGCTGGCTCTCAGCCCAATAGTTAATAAGAAGTACATGCAGACCACTCAACCCCGGGTGATGCACCCACATACTCTGGAAATACATCCCTTAGAGCAATGGACCATGGGGCACAAGAGGGCCAACATTCACACAGAGGAAATGCAGGACAAACAGGAGTGCTTAACTAGGAGGGGCACAGGGGAGGGTTATTGGGCAGGGAGCAGAGGAGACTGGGTCAGTATTGGGCATGGTAAATGGGGAGTGAAACTAAATGTACTTGTAATGTTGAATGTAAAACAAACTCTTAAAATTCCAAAAAAAAGAAAAGAGAACACTATGGACCACAGAACAAAACATTGCCAGGTCCTGCACTATCCTCACAACCGTTGCTATGCATAAACCCATCATTGCTGTGACCATGTCACTCCATTTCATTGAAGGTCTTTCCCCTTTCTGCTGACCCTCTCCTTTATCTAGTACGATCTCCTTCTCCAGGGACTGATCTCTTCTGACAGCATGACTAAAGCATGGTCTATTTGTGAATTTAGGATAGGTTGTATATTTGGGCACTTTCAGTTTAATGTTAAGCTTCTAAGCTTTTTGGGCTACAGCCAGCCTCACATGTGCTACTTCGTAGGCAGAAGATGCGAGCCAGCCCCATCCGAATTCCAACTGTCAGCAATGACAGCGACTGGGACTCCTGCTTCCATCTGTAAGTACTACAGAGCCTTGGCGTCACCCTCACTCATTGGTCTGAAACTCTCAAACTTCCCAATCATGGCAAACCTGGGTGAGAAGCTTAGCACTCATAGTGTATAACAGAGAAGACTGAACTTCTGTGATGTGGGTTTTTGTTATTGTTGTTTTAAACATTTTGACTTAAAACATAGCTCTGCTTCTTCACCAATACACAATTTAAGACCAAGATCTCTCCCGTTGCAGATAGGTCCCTGATAGGAGTTCCCTATTATCATTCCTTGTTTTATTTTTTATACTGTATTATTATTTTTATTGAAAATATACACAGTGGAACATACACCATTTCAACAATTTCTACAAGTACAATTCAGAGACATTGATTACATTCTTCAAGTTGTGCAATCATTGTCAACCTCCTTTCCTGAATTGCTCCTCCCCCATTTCTGAAATACTTCCATAATAAGTCTACTATAAGAGCCATTTGTACTTGTACAACCTCTGGTAGCATAATGTCAAGGCATTTTGGCTACTAACCAGAAGGTGGGCATTTCAAATCCACCAACTGCTCCATGGGAGGATGATGAGTCAATGTACATCTGTAAAGATTTACAGCCTTGGAAACCCAGTGAGAGTCAACTATAAGTTAGAAACTCAATGGCAGTGACCTTTTTTTTCAACCTAGGCAAATGTTTTTTCCCCATCTTAAGGGAAATATTTTTTTAAATAATGACTGAGTTTATTATTACAACCTCCAGTGAAGTCATAGAGAATTATATAACAGTTAAGAAGTAAATTAAAATTGAGTTTCAAGAAATAAAGAGACAATGAGTAAATTAAATGGTTTATATCATATTAATGCTTGTTACGTGCCAGGCACTGTTCTGTATATTGTTGTTGTTAGGTGCCATCGAGTTGTCTCTGACTTATAATGACCTCATGTACAGCAGAACGAAACACTGTCCAGTCCTGTGCCAGCTCCACGATCCTTGCTATACTTGAGCCCATTGTTGCAGCCACTGTGTCAATCCTTCTCGTTGAGGGCCTTCCACTTTTTCATTGACCTGCCACTTTACCAAGCATGATATCCTTCTCCAGGGTACAGTCCCTTCTGACAACATGACCAGAGTAGGTGAGATGAAGTCTGGCCATTCTTGCTTGCAAGGAGCATCCTGGCTGCATTTCTTCTAGGACAGCTCTGTTAGTTCTTTTAGCAGTCCATGGTACTTTCAGCATTCTTCACCAATACCACAATACTGTTTTGTATACTTTACACATATTCACTCATTTAACTCCCACAACCCTGTGAGGGAGGTACTGTTATTATCCCATTTTATTGATGAGGAATCTGAATCAGAGAGAGGTTAGACAACTTGCCCGAAGTCACACGGCTAATAAGTGGTACTCACACTGAGCAATCTAACTCCAAACTCCATTCTTTAACTATTTCTCTGTATCAGGGTTCTCAGTCTTGGTGCTGTTGACATTTTGGGCCATTAACTCTTTGTTTTGAGCCCATCCAATGCCTGACAGGATGGTTCATAACATCCCTATTCTCTACCCACAGATACCAGTAGGACTTCCCTCAATTGAGAAACCAAAAAGTCTCCAGATATTTCCACATACCCTCAGGGCAAAATCACTCACACTTGAGAACTACTACCTCATACCACAAACCCACTGCCATCAAGTGAGTTCCGACTCATAGTGACCCCCATCAGGTTTTCAAGGCTGTAAGTCTCTGCAAAAATAAATTGTCTCATCTTCCTCCCATAGAGCATCTGGGGGGTTTGAACTTCCCACCTTTTGGTTAGCAACCCCATGCCTTAACCACAGCACCACCAGAGCTCGTTGTACCCCATACCAGTGCTGTCTAAAAGAAATACAATGCAAACCACAAATGCCAGCCATATTGTTGTTGTTGTTATGTGCCATCGAGTCGGACCCAACTCATAGCGATCCCTCCTTGGGTTTCTGAGGCACTATCACTATGGAATACTACGAAATACTAATCTACGGAAGTAGATTTCCCAACTTTCCTTCCAAGGAGTGGCTGATGGGTTTGAACCGCTAGCCTTCTGGTTAGCAGTCAAGTGCCTTAGACACTATGCTACCAGAGCTCCTGCCAGCCATATAGGTAATTTAAATTTTTTTATTGTTGTTAGGTGGTGTTGGGTCAGCTCCAAATCACAGAGACCCTGTGTAAAACAGAATGAAATGCTACCCAGTCCTGCATCATCCTTACAATCCTTGCTCTACTTGAGCCCATAATTGCAGCCACTGTGTCAGTCCATCTAATTGAGGGTCTTCTGCATTTTTGCTGACCCTCCACTTTCCCAAGCAGATATCCTTCTCCAGAGAATGGTCCCTTCTGACAACGTGACCATAGTAGATGAGATGAAGTCTGTCCATTTTCGCTTCCAAGGAACATTCTGGCTGCACTTCTTCCAGGACAGATTTGTTCATTCTTCTGGCAGTCCATGGTACTTTCAGTATTCTTCACCAACACCACAGCTCAAAAGCATCAACTCTTCTTCAGTCTTCCTTCATTGTCCAGCTTTCACATGCATGCAAGGTGATTGCAAATACCATAGCTTGGGTTACCAAACCAAAAACCAAACTCACGGGCGTTGAGTCGTATCCAACTCATAGTGACCCCTCCTTGGGTTTCTGAGGTGTTATCACTATGGAAGTAGATTGCCCAGTCTTCCTTCCAAAGAGTGGCTGTTGGGTTTGAACCGCCAGTCTTCTGTTGTTGTTGTTGTTGTTATGTGCCGTCGAGTCAGCCCTGACTCATAGCGACCCCTCCTTGGGTTTCTGAGGGAGTATCACTACGGAAGTAGGATTGCCCAACCTTCCTTCCGAGGAGTGGCTGGTGGGTTTGAACCGCCAGCCTTCTGGTGAGCAGGCAAGTGTCTTAGCCACTATGCATTAGGCACTATGCCACCAGAGCTCCTATGGCTTGGGTTAGGTGCGCCTTTGTCTACCAAAATGACGTCTTTGCTTGTCAATACTTTAGACAGGTATTTTGCAGCAGATTTGCCCAGTGCAATACAATATCTGATTTCTTGACTACTGCTTCCATGGGTGTTAATTGTCGATCCAGGTAAATGAAATTTTGACAACTTCAATCTTTCCTCCATTTACTGTGATGCTGCTTATTTGTCCACTTGGGAAGATTTTTATTTTCTTCATGTTGAGGTGTAATCCATACTGCAGACTGTAGCCTTTAATCCTTATCAGTAAGTACTTCCAGTCACTTTCGGCAAGCAAGGTTGTGTACTCAGTATATCACAGATTGTTAGTGAGTCTTCCACCAGTACTGATGCCCAGTTCTTCTTCTTATAGTCCAGCTTCTTGAATTATTTGCTCACCATAGAGGTTGAATAAGTATGGTGAAATGATACAACTTGCACATTTCCTAATTTTAAACCATGCAGTATCCCTTTGTTCTGTTCAAATGACAGCCTCCTGGACTATGTACAGGTTCCTCATGAGCACAATGAAGTGTTCTGGAATTCCCATTCTTTGCAATGTTATCCATAATTTTTTATGATCCACACAGTAGAATGCTTTTGCATAGACAATAAAACACAAGTAAACATCTCTGTGGTATTCTTTGCTTTCAGTCAAGACCCATCTGACATCAGTAATGATATCCCTCATTCCACGTCCTCTTCTGAATGAATCCAGCTTGCATTTCTGGAAGTTCCCTGTCAATATACAGCTACAACCATTTTTTAAAAATTATCTTTAGGAAGATTTTACTTGCACGTGATATTAAGATTATTGTTTGGTAATTTCCACAAAGAAAAGGATCACCTTTCTTTGGAATAGGTACAGATGTGGAAATCTTCCAGTGAGTTGGCCTGGTAGCTGTCTTCAGATTACTTGGCACAGAGATTAAGTGTCTCCAGCATGGCATCCGTTTGTTGAAACATCTCAGTGGGTATTCTGTCAATTCCTGGAGCCTTGTTTTTCGCCAACTCCTTCAGTGCAGCTTCAGCATCTTCCTTCAATACCATTTGTTTTGGTTACCTCTAGTGCTGCTCTAACAGAAAATACCACAAATGTATGGCTTTAATAAACAGGAGTTTATTCTCTCACAGGTTAGGAGGCTAGAAGTTCAAGTTCAAAGTGCCAGCTCTAGGGGCTGGGTGAAAGCCCCTCGACCTTGGGCTTCAGCTCTACCTCTTGCTCCTGGCCCACTGAAGCTGGAGGCTTTTCTTAACTCAGGCAACTGCTGACTGGTGAGGCTGACAAACCCAAGGTTGACAAGTACAATTGCACAGTCCCAAAATGATCAAACCACATGGCAGGCCACTAATTTAAGTCCATTAACAGTCCCAAGATCAACAGACAACATGGCAGGCTGTTGAACGATGACTTGGCTAAATGCAGGATTCAAGCATGCCAAAAGCTGCAGAGACCATTCCCAAAGCTTCTCCTTATATACGGGAAGAGGACCACATCCCTAAAGCAGTTTCTTAGCTGCTTGTGGCAGATTCACCCATGGAGTTGATTGCCAGTTTCATCATAGGGAATAACTACCACCAGCTGCCCAGCCTGGGAGCTCT